ACAGTGGCGTAGCTGCCGCAACGTGATCAGCGTGAGGATCAATGTCTAGGCGCGCCCACACGTCTGCAAGGGCCAGGAGCGAGAGCTGAGAGTTCTTCGTGTCTCTGAACGCATCAGAGCCCAGCAAGCCGTCGTCATCGGGTACGGCAGCGGAAGCCATCGCTGCCCTCGCAACCTCGGCTACATTCTCCTTTTCGTTTCTGCTAACGCAAAATGGCTGAAGCATTGCGTCCAGATCCTCATCGAACAGCAGCTCTAGCGTATCGGAAAGGCTGCTGCGGAACAAGTTGGCGCGAGCGGCTACCATGCGGTCCAACAGCTCTGCCCGTTGGCCCTTGCGAAGGAGCTGCGAGATCTGATCGACGCTGACGCTGTACTCGTGCACCAACGCAAATGCTTGATCGTTGCCGAACGCCAAATCGGCGTACAGCTTTGCGTCGTTGCCCAATATCCTCGCCGTCAAATTCGCCTTGGCATTCTCGATGCCACCCTCGTACCGTTCGCATTCCCATGGCAAGACATGGGCGCGACGCCATGCGGTGCCCATGCTGAGGAGAATGGTATGCGTCAACACCTGCGTATTCGCCACCGTCCTGTCGTGGCTGGTGTAGTCCATGCAGGATATTCTGGAACCCAGAGCACCTGCGATGAATTCCAAGTTGGAGAATTGCAAGTCGGTGGCGCGATGACGGATGAGCACGATGCTTTGACCGCGAGGGTCAAGCCCTGGGCCGTGCATGGAATGGCACGAGACGAGGCCTACATCGGTCCTGCCTGCGCCTCCATTGGCAGTGCCGTGCACATGCTGCTCAAAGGCGGCAATCTCTGGGCCTTTTACAGAGGTCTGGCCACAGATTGTCGCCGCATGCTTGAGGTGAGGCGCAACCTGCTTGACAATCGTACTCGTGAGGTGCGTGGGCACAGAGATGAGAATGAAATCGCAGATGGGAGCCATGTCTTTTAGTTGCGGAAATGGCACGACGCTGGTGCCAGCAAACTCGCGCACCAAGGCGTGGTACTTGTCTGGCGCTTCGCAAACGAGAATGGGATGATCGAAAGGCAGTGCAGAGCGCAAAGCCGTCAGATACATCCGTCCCATGCCGCCGAGACCGATGAGACCGTAGATGGGGGGCACATTGGCCACGATGGGCTCGTAAGAGATGGATCTGCGCGCGCACTCTGCCGCGGACTCTAATGCGCCCATGCGTGGCGATGAGTGGGTTGAGGAGCTTGAAGTGGAGCTTGCAGGTGATGCGTGACCGGACGACACCGTTCCGGCCTCTGCCGCCGCCAGCGTCGATTGGTACTCGAGCGTAAGGCTCGGCATGTTTTCGAATGTCTGAAGTTCCCGAGCGAGCGAGCGAGCCAGCGAGTGCGTGCAAGCAGTGTGTGCTCGATGGTGCGCTTGCGTGTAGGGATCAACGTGCAGATGCGGTCAACAGGCGATGATCAGGCACGCGCTGGCGGGCTCACTTGATCCGCGCTGGGTAGAGAATGTTTCGGAAATATAAGGGATTGCTACGTACGTTTGGTCATGGTCACAGCCAGTGAGCGCATGGATTAGGATAGGGTCTCAGCGAATTTGGGACATCGTTCGACCCGCTTGACCTTATAAGCGCTCGGACTATCGTTGTGGCTCCTTTGAGCCATCTACTAGCGCGACAACAAATTCCGTTCTGGCTCCTGCATTGTCTTGAGATGCGCAACGCGACGCAGCCCGGGGCCGTCGTCATCACCGTGGGCATTTCCGAGAAATTGTGAAAGAGGTGCCAACTCGCAAATCGGTTGGCCGCTTCCCTGCCTACTGATCCGCAAATGCCTTGTCAAACGTGCGCATGAAAGGTCGTCCGTCATATTCAAGCCAAGCGCAGTGGGGCAAGAGAATGCGCGAAGCGATGTATTGGCGCAGTCCGGACGACGATGTGAGGAGGGGGATCGACTGAAGGACGTGGCGAAACTTCAGATCAATGCTCGACGCTCGAAATTTCGCTATCACGGTGTTGACTGAGCCACACGCCGCGTTGCATCTTGCTCCTGCGCGAGAGCGGGCAAGCAGGCGGCGACGTGAAGACTTGACACTTTGACAGATTAGAGATTAGATTGCTGACTACTGCATGGTCACTACGCAGTGCTAACTAAGGCGCTGCCTTTTTCTCGGGTCCAGCCCCAAGGAACCGGCTGTGCGTCCCATGCCCCCTCGGAGGGCGTTGCGGGAGAGAGCATGAGCAGGCGCGTTGGACTCGTAGCGCAGGGCGCCAGCATATAGGACGCTACTCGAGTTTCGCCGCTGCATGCAGCTCCGCCGGCTTGGTACAGTCGTGAATACATGTACAGCACATGATGTATGACCTGTCTGCTGCTTAATTGTGCGCCAAATGGACCTGCAGCTCTATATACAAAGCACGTGCATGCATCGCGGACATGAAGTGGGCTCGGATCTCAACGTGGAGGACAAGAAAGAGAGTGCCGTGCCGTGCCGTGC